GAAGTCAGAAGGGGCATAAATTATAAGGAAAAAGGTTGTTTGGAGTTCACAAAAGAGATAAACCAGACCCCAATTTGTTCTAATGAACTTTTCCCTATCTGGAGCTAGTCTCCAGCTTGTTTATCAGTTAAAAGCTGATCAACCTGAACATCATTTGAAAAGAGAAAATAAATCGAATTAAAATCCAAAGTGTTAGCTAGCAAGTTACAAAATCCATGCCATGTACCCCTCAAGGCCCATTATACCACACCACATAGGTGGAAAGGATTAAGACTTTTATCTCTCTATATAAAAGCAAAATATTACTCATGCATCATCACAAAATCTCCAGAACCGTAAAGCCTACAAACTTGAAATTTGGTACATATGTTCCTCTTGGCTTCTCAGTGCTCATTAAGGAAGGATTGTTCGAAATGACCATCAGAGCATTAGTATTTCATGTATTATTATTAATATGTTCTGATGTTAAGGAGTTATCCTCCCTCTCCCCACCTGAAAAGAAATCTGTTCCAAATGCAAAACACAAGCAGAGGAGTTTCAGTTTTAGTTTCACAGCGCCAAGCAGCTTTCTACAGAACAGTTGAGCTCAGCCACGGCCAGGAACCTTGCTGTATCATTCTTGCTTACACTGCAAATACAGTTTCAGTTTCCAAACAGCCCTCAACTCTCTCACACACTGACAGGACGCTACCCAGATTTCAGATAATTAGAGTTGGAAGGGACCTTGTAGGTCATCTAGTCCAACCCCCTGCCCAAGCGGGAGACCCTACACCATTTCTGACAAATGGCAATCCAATCTCTCCTTGAAAGTCTCAAGTGATGAGATGAATACCAATGGATGCTGGTAGGCAGAGACAGAATTTTTCCCCCTTATTTTTCTCCCCCAAAACTAAATCTAACCACATAGTTTTATAGTGAAGCACAGGTATCGAACTAGTTTTAAAATAAAAGGTTTCCCAGAAGGAAGTTTCAAAGTGAGCACACATCTCTTCTTGGAATGAACCATTTTAATGCAATTTTGAACAGTGTACATGCTGCAGCTATTAACCAAACCTGAAAACCAACTTCATACATACATTCTCAGCAATCATACTGTAGTAATGTAGGTAAACTAAAGTTTGAAGGTATACAAAGGGCTTTCATCTTACTGTAGAGTTGTAATTGCAGGAATGTTCCAATCTGATGGCAAACCTAAGATAGAGAATGTTTCCAAGCCAATACAATTCAGGCAAACAAAGTCACTAATCTAAAGGAGGATTAGAGAGAGGAAGTAAACATATGTTAGACTTTAACTAGAGATAATTAATTGTGTTGGTTGCTATGCTAAACAGTAACGAAAGTTAAGCAGAAACCAAAGTTAACCAATGTTGAAGGATAACTAAAAATGTGTATAAATGCAAGACTAGACTCCAATAAAGATCATCCTGATTCAGTTGATCATGATCAAACAACTTGACTGCCTTGTCATTACAACAATCTTACAATAACATTCCTGCACTAAGAAACATTCTTAAGTTACTCTGGTGCTAGGGTGCTATCTATCACAACACAACAAAGCTGGCATTCCTATTTACAAAGACAAATGGTCTGGTGCTGTCATATATGCCTAACAAGTAGGTTAACCAGTGGAATAGATACAAAATGTCAGAGCTACACTTATGTAACAAATGATAAACAATACACGAATTAAACATGATTAATCAATACATGAATGAAAAGCATGAATAGGTTAAAATGGGCTGTCTCACTAAGGCCAATCAGATTAAGCTCAAATTACATATTAAACTAAATTTGATTTTAGAAAAGGAGGATTAACCAGATCAAATGTTTTAACGGAAAAACACATGTATAGGAATTCCCTATAATTCCCCCCTTTTTTGAAAAATTAACTCCAGTTATCACAACATATATTTTAAAGTGTGTGTGACCTGCACTTTAGCTCATGCTGCACAAAGCTATTTATACTTAGTGTATTATTTGATCTCCTTTGTATGGTTTTTCAGTGTAGAGAGTCAGTTTGCTATAGTGATTAATGTTCTGGCCTAAAAACCACGACAAAAAGTTGCTCTCTTTTTTAAATAAAAACTTCAATATTTATATAAATATTTATAATATTTACATACAAGCCATGCCCAGCCAGTCACATGACCACCAAGCCACACCCACAAATTAGGCCATGTCCACAGAACCAGTTAGTGGTCCCTGGGATCTAAAATTATGAGTTTGGTAGTCCCTGAGGTCCAAAAGGTTGGTGACCCCTGCTTTAAATTCATTCTTCCCTGAACCATAATGTTATACTGTTCTGGTGAATTACTTCAACCAGAGTTCTTTTAAGCCACTTTTAAAAGGTCCATGTGTATCTATTGCCCTTTTGGGCCCATATAAGAGGATCCACTTTTCCTTAAACTTCCTTGCCCATGGCCATAATGTTTACAATTATTTCCCTTTCATTCCACATAGTAACAATCTCCAATCCTAAATCTTAAACCCTTCCCGGCCAAATTACACCTCCTTTCTACTCGTACAAAGTCGCACCATACTCCAGGTTCTTTTGCTACAGCCTGGACTATATTGGATTTAAATATCAATGCTTCTACTACATGTCTCCCAATTTCCTGAGCCTTAATCTTCCCTTCGACAATTTGCATTCCTGGAGGTATATACTTCATTTCTTCCTCTGGGGTCCAACTTTAAGGTTCATCAGGGGTTCTTGAAAAGCTGGATCAGAAAACAAGTGAGTCTCAGACACCGCTAATTCTCAAAATCCATCAATTTAGCTAGTTCTTCCCCCTCCTTTGGTCTACCTCTAGGACATGTTTCATCCCTTTTCTTATCAGGCTATACCATAACATATGTACTACAAAAGGGGGAAGTAAGTCTAATTAGTCATTTTGCACAATTCAGCATATACGTACTTATCTTACACCATCTGTTATTTTCCATACCCACCCTTGCCATCTAGCTCTTTACAGAAAAATATCTAGTTCATAGGTCATTATACTTAGACTTAGATTCAGCAAATTTCCTGATTATCACAATATCATATTAAGCAACTTCTATAATGTCTGCAATATAAGCTAAGGAACTTCTGCTAATGATAAGAATACTTTTCTGGTAACTTTCCACTTTGCTTCATTCCCCACTTTGAAACTTCACTTAAATCCTTAGATTACTGTGGAGTTTCATAGATGGGAGAGATATCTTCTACTGCATTCAATTTCTCATATTCCCACAAAAACATAGCCTTGTCTGCAGCGTTCTTTTCTACCAGCATAGAAAGACTGTTGGAGATTACTTGCATAAAGATGGGGAGAATACATGGTAGAATAACACACCCTGCTGCTATCATTTCAATGAGTGCAACTATGGCTTGGAGGCCAGGTAATTTAGGGAACCAAGATCCAAATATCTCACCAAATTCAAACCTATTCCATTTGTGAACAGGTACATGTGCAATGTTTTCTATACGTCTAGCACTTTGTTCAATGATTTTACCAATATCATCGAATTTCAGACAACAATTTGTAAAGTTGAATTTTGCATACACTCCCCCTTCAGTGGCTAAGAGGAAATCTAGGGCCAGACGATTTTGGTATATTGCGTCTCTAAACTTTTTCTGCTGGATTGCTATTGAATGTAGAGATTGAGCTGTTTCATTTGCAATCAATTCTACGACTGCTTGTAATTGGATAATGCGGTTTAGCATATTTATTGGGGTGCGATAGCCATAACTGCCGTCAGCGGCCCAAGTGGTCAGGGGATAATATTGAATGACCCATTCAGGAGCCCACTCATCATCACTCCAGTCCCCTATCTTATAATCTGCTTTTAGTTGTCCACCCTTCCAATGGTCAGCCTTTGCTACTTGGGGCTGATTAAGTGGTAACATAAAGAAGGCTGGGTTTATGATACCTAAATATACATGCTCCTTTCCATTTTAAGGGCAGAGTACTATAAGCCATAATGCCACAGATCCAGTGTACACCGGGAAAGGCTGCAGTAATGTTTTCCAAGGAATAATTGGACCAGAATTGGTTTGTATTATTTGGCCAGTACTGCCAAGAGTTAGTAGTTTGATTCCATTCATGTACCTCTAGACAGTCTTTATCCCCTACTGATGATCCCTCCCCCTGTGAGTTTGCCAAACACCATTGGGCCACAATGGGTGTATCTAGTTCCCACCTGGACTGAGGCTGATGTCTGGGCATGGCCGTTAAATTATAGGTGATTGAGTAGTTCCATTCCTGGGCTGTCCATGGCCATTGGTCCCCCATTTTAGTACCCCCGCATACGTAGCAGCTGGTAATATTTAAAGTATGCACTATGGTAGAGGCCAATTCCAGAAATAAATTGCGGCCTGCTGGGATGGTTGAAACTCGATATCAACTTCCTTCCAAAATTCAGAGAAATATGTAGTATAGTTTCTAGTAGGATGATACCTGGTTTCCAGAGACAAATGTATGATACCTCCAGGATCAGTGCCTTGTGCCCGCAATCTAATCCCCATCGTTGACTCATATCTGGAAATCCATTGCTGGGTGTTAAGTATAGTAATGTTGACATAATTACATTGATATGGCATACAATTTGTGAGCGCATGTACCTTTATTATCTGGAGGTAAGTTCCCTTGCCCTTATTTGAGGCATAAGTGGCCCATGCAACACAATCCCATGTTGGACAGAATCTCTCATCCGTGTTTCTACAGTCCCCCTTTCCAGTCCCTACTGGGTGATTATAAAGGCAAATATAAACATCAGATTGGGTATATGTTCTATGCCATGACAAGGAAGACCTGCAGGAAGTGGGCCACTGGGCCACTTTGCAGACATCAAATGAAATGGTATTTGGGCTAGTGGCTGACAATATCTGTGTCTGGGAGATGACTGGGCCACTACTCAAGCCTCTACTTCTAGCTACCAACCATGTTTGTGCTGGATTAATCCTGGGGTCATAGCATTCATTCTTTTGGGCACAGAGAGAGTACCAGGTTCCTTTATAGCAACAAGGAGTTACTTTTCCCTGACATCTGTAATGGGTATGATACACCAAAGTCATGGTAACTGTTCTCCCTTTCAACACAGATTTAATACATACTGTGCAATTGTTGGGACATAAGGGATTTTTAGTAGCTGGAGCACTTGATCTTTCAGCTCGCCTTTCGCTTTTTATGTGAAAGATAGGCGGGAGATCATCTCTATAACATAAAACTCCCTCCATCCCATTGTACCTTTTATATGTCCTTTGACCATATGCACAGGGGGTACATGGAAATAGGTGCATGAATCTGGCTTCCCAATCCTGGCATGTAGAGCCCCTTCATTAGTTAGGCATTGAGTACATGTAGCTAATCCAGTAAGTGCTTTTTCCTTAGGTGGACTTTCTTTATCTGTTGTACTTTGGGGTATGCGGACATGCCTAATGGGTACCCATGGAGTGTGCAGAAGATGACATCTTATAGTGTTGTTGTACATGCACTGTCAATATCTAGTTCCCTCATGCTCACACTGAGGGAGATTAGTAGTGGAACAATTAGGAAACTTGGTTACGTTATAGGTAAAATGCCTGCCTGTGGGTAGTACCATAAAGTACATGTCACATGGCCTGGTGTCCCTTCCCTTATCCTGGTCCTCCTCCAGGTCCTGGGGTTCCTCCAGGTCAGTGGGGTTTGGTGAATACCACTCAAAAGGGTTGATGCAGGTACTACATTGGTGGAGGAGCATTTTTCAATCTTGGCAGCTTTAAGATGTAGGGACTTCAACTCCCAGAATTCCCTATCAGCATGATGAGCCTTGGAGTTTCATGGTCACATGAACTATATCTTTAGGGGAAGTATATGTGGAAAGCACACTGAGTGACTGAAAGTATGAAATACTAAATAAATAGGTTTATATGACATAACTGAAGGAACAGAGTGAGTAGTGTTGCCCAAGTGTTCAGCCCTGTTCATGCGTCCATTTCAGGCAACAGAAATTGTAGGGAATGTAATTGCATTTGATTGTTCCTCCTTGGGAATTATAATCCTTTCTTGCTCTTCTCTGACCCTGTGAGAATTAATTTTAACACTGCCAGTAATAAAAATAAAACAAGTATGAGTAAATCTGACCACTGTAGAAACAAGGAGCAGATGGAAACAGCCCAGTCTGCTTAAAAGAGGGCTCCATGTGGTCCCTTATAAAGAACAGAAGGAAAATGAAATGCAAGATTACAGGGTTGTTAAAAGGAAAAAAAAAACCATTACTACAAATGGCTAACTTGCTTAGGTGTGCTAAAATTCATGTTATTCTTTTGATACCTGGGATGTGAAATGTATATCTTATCTTGCTAACGAATATATTTTCTGACTATAAACACTTTTATGTCAGTCTAGCAGTGCATGGTTTTGCCATCTGCAACCATTAATCATGTCTGTCTGACTTAGAGGAATGTGTTTTCAGCAGTTTTATTATGATTAAAATTACTAGTAGTATTGCCATCATTTTCTGATCATTAGATAAGATCATACCATATTAAGGCTTTTATGGGCCAGCAAATTAGGAGCTTTATGGATGCATTTCAAAACAAATTGATCAACCTGTTGATGAAGATGGATGAAGGTAATTCATCTATGCCACCTGGTATTTTGTTTCCTCTAATGGCTTTAAAGATTTCATCTCAAAGGGCTATTCCTAAAGGTTTTAATTGCATAAAACTATATCACGATGAATAACATAGTGTTTGAAAAGCTTTTCAAAATTTAAGATAACTTTTGGAAATAAAATTTGCATTTGATTGCTTTGGGCTTACTCGAGATAAAGTAAATTCTTTTTCCATGGGTGTTTGTAATGGAGATAAAGAGATACTCCAAAGATGACACAAAGCAAAAATTATTAGAAAATTGCCAGTGGTTTCTTTTATACTTAAACAAATATTGCATACATATTAAGGGGGACTGAATTAGAATAAGGTATGTGACAATTGCCAGCAAACCATGCTTCTGGAAAGAAAGTCAAATGTTGCCCCTTCATTTCAATACTACATTTGACAAGCATTCCAGAATAGAGTGTGTTAATAGATAAGGTTTCTGAACCAAGCCATGCTATAAATTGGCATAGAGACTTATGAGAGCTACATACTGCTGTGACTGGATTAATACTTTTTCAAGTCCCATCATCAATGATACATTTGTTTTATTAACAGATTAAGGAGAGCCAAAGGGTATTGAGATTTTTGTGCCCCAAATTTGGATTTGGGTAGAATTTCTATATTCTTCACAGATACTGCCTCGCTCTGTGATACCATCTTTTTTTTAAAAAAAAAAGTTTTAATGTTTTTTTAAGACAAACACAGACAAACAAAACATAAAAACATCAAGCCATCTTCCATATATATATATACAGAGTGTTGGTTGGTTTACAAATTGTTTTGTGCTTCCACTTCATAGTCTTCAATTACAATTACATTGTATATATTCTCATATTGTCAATCAAATATTCCTAGATACATTAATATCATTGTTAATCAATCATTTGACTATACTATTATTCATTCATATTTTACAAGATAATCCATATTTTATTTAGTTTGTTTTATGACAGTTCATATTATAATCTCAAATCTATCCTACAATCATTTTGTAGATATAATAAAAAATACATCTTTATATATTCATTATGTTCTAAAAATCTACATATTTCATTTCCATGTTTTATTGTCTAGAATAGATCCCAAATTTTATAAAATTGTTTATCATCTTGTTCTCTGATTTCAAATGTCAATCTACTCATTTCAGCACATTCCAATATTTTCTTAATAATTTCCTCCTCCGATGGTATTTTCTCATTTTTCCAGTTTTTGGCAAATACAATCCTAGCTGCTGTTAGTATATTTACAATAAGATATTTCAATTATTTATTGTATATTTCAGGTAAAATTCCCAATAAAAATATCTCTGGTTTCAAGTCTATATGCTTTTTTTGTGGATTTTAGCCCAATATTTTTTGGCGTCTGCACAAGTCCACCACATATGGTAATATGAGCCAGGTACCTGATGACATTTCCAACATTTTCCAGATGTATTCTTGAACATTCTTGCTATTCTTGTTGGGGGAAAATGCCACCTATAAAATATTTTATACAAATTTTCTTTATATGCTGTTGACAATGTCATTTTATAATTTTGAGACCACAATTTTTGCCATTTCTCTAGCTCAATCCCATATCCGAAATTCTTCCCCCAAGCAATCATTGTTTCTTTAACTTGTTCTTCTTCTAATTTAATTTCTAATAGATATCCATACAATTTTTTAATCACCTTTTCATCAGTACCTGTCAAAATCTTATCTAAATCAGTCAATTGATCATAGAAGCCTTCTGTTTTAGAATGTTTATCATACCTTGAATGTATTTGCGCATATGAAAACCAATTCATCTTTATACCTTGTTCCTCTAGTTTCTGTTTGGATTTAAGTTCACCCTTTTCATTCAATATTTCACCATATCTAACTGTTTGTTCCTTTTTGTATATTATAAGATATGAAAAAGCTTCAATAGTCGATAGCCAGACTAGAATTTTCAAATAACATTGTCTTTTAGTCTTCTCCCAATTTAACCACAGAGACTCCCATATATAATGTCTTCTAAAATACCCCTGTGTTTTGATTCCTTTATACCATAGAATAGCATGCCACCCCAACAATAGATCATGTCCTTCTAATGTCAACAATCTAGCATTTCTTAATGTTATCCATTCCTTAACCCACATCAAATTTGTGAACTTGGTAGTACAACTCCCAATTAGGCAAACCAAATGCTCCTCTTGTTCTGACATCTTGCAAAAGTTTTAATTTTATTCTCGCTTTCTTACCTTGCCATATATATTTCAACACAATTTTATTTAAATCTTCAAAATAATCTTTTCCAAGCCTAACTGGAATTGTTTGAAACAAATATAAAATTCTGGGTAATATACTCATCTTGATTGTTGATATTCTCCCTATTAATGACAGTTGTAAATTTTCCCATTTCGCCAAATCTAGCGCTATCTGCTGCTTAAGTTTAATATAGTTATTCTCTTTTAGTGTGCTACATCTTGCTGTCAGATGTATCCCCAAGTACTTGATCTTATTGGTGACCTGGATATATAATACATCTGCCAGTTCTTCCTTTTGTCTTGATAACATATTCTTTGTCACAATCTTTGTTTTGTCTTTATTTATTTTCAAGCCAGCCACTTTCCCATATACCTCTATCTTTTCTATCAATTTTAATGCTGTTTCTAGTGGGTCTTCTAAGATGAAAACCAGATCATCTGTAAATGCTTGCAATTTAAATTCTTCTTTTTTTAATTTTCATCCCTTTTATGTCCTTTTTTTCTCTAATATTTCTGTTTAGCACTTCCAAAGTTAACACAAACAACAAAGGTGACAGTGGACAGCCTTGTCAGTGGGCAGCCTATATCAACAGAGTCCATTAATTCTCCCTCTATCATTACCTTTGCTGTTTGCTATGATATATAGCTTCTATTGCTTGGATAAATTTTTTACCAAAACCCATCCATTCCAGCTGTAATAACATGAATCGCCAATTCACATTGTCAAATGCCTTCTGTGCATCTAAGAATATCAAAGCCATTTGTTTTTCAGGGTGTGCCTCATAGTATTCCAAAGTGTGCCAAATTACTCTCATATTGTCTTTAATTTGTCTCTTTGGCAGAAATCCATTTTGGTCAAAGTGAATAAAATTATTTAGGTATATTTTAAGTCTTTCTGCCAATATTGAAGCAAAAATTTTATAATCTGCATTTAGTAGGGAAATAGGTCTGTAATTCTTGATTTGTAATGGGTCAGCCTCCTTTTTTGGGAAAAGTGTAATATAAGCTTCTGACCATGAAGTTTATATTACGCTTATATTATTAGGTATCTTCATCTTTGACATAACTTCATTCATTACTTCTAGAAATGGAAGATTCAATGATTCTTGTTGTGTTTTATAAAATTCCTCCGGAAGTCCATCTGGGCCTGGTGCCTTTCC